TGAATTTTCCGTCGGAAAAGCCCACGCTGAGAAATGGACGTATCACGGCCGCGCCGCTGCGAGAGGGTTATGTCGCGCAAAGAGGTTATATTTCGTAAAGATCGAGATACCTGTGCACAGCGATGTTTGCGCAATTACGGTTCATGCTGCTCTCCCGGCGAATCCTGACTGCTCTTTCGATCGAACGATGATGGCCTCTCTCTCTCTCTACCTCTCTCTCTCTCGCCGGTGCCGAATCTCAGCAGCGAACGATACGCCGAACACGCGCGGCGAGCGGCGGCGATCTGGCAGCCGCGAGATCTCGCGACAGGCGAATCGAACGCGCACTTCGGTCGGATTCAGGGGCGCGATAAACGGCAACTTCAGCCGACCACCGCGCGTTCTCCACGTACCTGCGTCGGCGGCGCGGCCGCGGCGGGCGACTCTTTTCCTCCTTCGTTCTCGCTTCGTTCACACGGAGCACGGACGCCTATCTGTCTCACCGGGGACGGCCTGCCGTCGTCGCGGCCAGTCCCGCTACGCTCGACGACGGGGATGACGAGAATGACGGTAATGACGACGGAGTAGCGCGACCAGATGGCTGACCAAGTGCCAACGGCCAACCGACGACGGCGAGGAAGGACGTCGCGCGAGCGGGTGCAGCACCGCGATGGCCGAGACGTGTAGTCGCACGCGTGAAACGGCTAGCCCGATGAGTGACATGCGTGTGCTCGCGCGTGTGACGTGGCGTGTGTGCGGAAGTATATCGATCAGCTGACGGTCGGGCGGATACTGGGCCGCTTCGCGGAATTCACCATATTGTTGCGTCGGAACGCATGCGCCGAGCCCTCGTCCCTTCGTTCTGTCACCCCCCCCCCGGCGCTTCTCCTTTCTTCCCTTACGTTCTCCCCCTTTGTCCCTCCCGCCCTCGTCTTTCCACTCTCCCCCCCCCCCCGCGATTTTGTACGTCGTGGGTACAGGGTGATTCAGCGGGAACACGGGAACCCGATATTTCTAGGACGCCAGGGGGTTCCGCAGGGAGTCGAAAAATAACCCGCGAGGCTTCCGCGGACTAGACGAGAATCGATTGGTCGGCGAGAGGAGGAGGGAAACAAAGAGGAAAAGAGAGAGAGAGAGAGCGCAATTTTAATTCGACGAATAGCTAAAGGCGAGCCCGCTTCGCGAAATAAAAGAAATCGCTGCGGAGCGATTTATGGAAGATGGATCGCGCGCGGTCTCGCGACGGCAAGAGAGAGAGAGAGAGAGAGAGAGAAAGGGGGGAGAGAGAGAGCTTCGTGGCAAAGGGCAAAGTAAGAATCGCGTAGGCTCGAAAGGCTGATCTTTTAATGACGCGATTCACGCGTGACGTTTGCCACGGCGCCCTTTTCGCCCCCCTCCGAGTTACGCACGTGTCGTGTCTCGCTGATTTTCGCGCACATCCCTGTCGCCTCCCCCTTGGTTACCCGCCCACGCCCGACCACCCACCTTGCTCGTCGTCCGTTCTTTCCATTTCCTAGGAGGATACGCTGGGGCCGCCTCGATATATCGTCGCTCAATATGCAAATAGCCTACAGTCCTGCTTCATCATGCCTTCTAAATTACATTATTGTCGTGTATATAAATTTGTCTATTTCTCCGCCGACTCCTCTCCCCTTCCCCTCAATCCTCTCGTGCGTTTCTCGATTTACAGAACGCATTTTCCCGCGACTCTGCGCCTCCCCGTCTCCGCACTCGCACGACTTTCTCCGGCTTCTTGCGGTTTCCGCGTTTCCCATTTTCATCGTTCGCACAATTTCCGCAACTTCGAGAGACCCTCAAAGCGTGATCGTGAGTCGTGATCGAGTGCGCGCAGAATATTAACGAGGAATCGCTGCGAGTGCTTTTTTGAAAATTGTTCATGTCCGCGTGTCGACACTTTATACTTCTCGGGCGGCTCTACGGAAAGGGGATTGCTTTTTCCACAATCGACCTGATGGCTGAATTTCGCGTACCACGCCGCGCTCGTCCTTTGCCAGCGACGACAAATAATCGAGCCCGCTTCGTCTCTCCGCGCGCGCGCGCTCGAGAGAGAGAGAGAGAGAGAGAGAGAGAGAGACATTTCGCTGCTTGTACCGTTACTTAGACCCGCGCGATCAAAGAGCCGGACTATAATGACGACCGCGAATAACAGCGGGCGGACTGATTAATGTTCGGCAAACACGTGTAATACGTGTGGCAAACCGCACGCGGCGCTCGCCATCGATCCCCCCTTCTTTTCGTGCTTAAATTACGTCCGTCCGTTTCCCATTAGCGCGCCCCGTCGAGATATTAACGAACCGTAAAGAATGCGAGAGAAGTGCTTTTTCTCGAGTGGCGATAACACATAACGCGTCGAGATCGGCGAGAGTACGCGCGAGCGCGAGCGAGAGAGGCGTGGAAAAATTCGGAACAATTGGAGCATCCGTCAAACCCCTCCCTCCTCGTTTCCCCGGGCGTGGAAACTGATCGGGCCGAGCGCCGTAAACTGCACGACGATACCTCCTCCGAGGGCTAAAATCGGGCTGAAACGCTTGCGGACATCGTCCGCAAGAACGAGATCAAGTTCGCGCGCTCTCGGCGGCGGAGAGCGAGCCGGCGCGCGAGCCGAGCCCCGATCGGCTGGAACACGAGAAATAATTACCGCTATCAGTGTCGGCGCGTAATTGCCGGTTATCGCAATAGCGACTAGCGCGCGGCTAAAATAACGATCAGTTGTTGCTCAAGAGAGACGCGCGTTTCCTCGTGTGTTACCTGCCGGCTGATGGAAAGATCAAAGGAGGATCAAGACGGCGGAGATCAAGACGAGAGATGAAATACAGTTGCGCTGAGGTAAGGAAAGAAGGAGAAAGAGGGGAGTTGGGGCGGAGGGCACAGGTGAGAGAAGAAGGAGGGAGGGAGAGGGAGAGAGAGAGAGAGAGAGAGAGACACGATGGGGACTGTGATTTCACGGTTGAGGCGCGCGGATTCACAGTCACGCTTCGTGATTTCGCTTCTTGATCCGCTCGCGGGAAAAGGAAACGGAAAGCTTGCTTTTCGTTCTCGCGCCGAAACTGGTTATCCGCGTCCGGGCGTTACGGCGGTTTACGTTGACCTCGGCCACACGGCTACTGCGCGGTGTAACGGTAATTAACGCGTTAACTGAATCCCGAGACACAGGAGGGACGACCGCGCGTTAAGATGGAAGAAGTTGCCTCTCGGGAGAGCTGCATTTCGCTCGCACTTTACCACTTTGTGTGTGTGTGTGTGTGTGTGCCTTCTTTCCGCGAAACGGGAAACTTCCTCTCCCGCGTGCGCGAGCCTCGCGTGATCGCTGAAGGAACCCGTGTCCGTTCAAATGCGGACCGATGTCGCTATCGTTACCGTAACACAGTCCGTCCTTCGGATTGTTGTTATCCACTGCGCGTTCGAGTAACAGTATTAAGAGGGGGGACTGGAAGGTCAGATTACTGAAAAATCCTGCTTGTTTCTGATAATATTTTGTGACAAACTGAATAAATGTGCAATAATGAAAATCTTTTCATATATTTATATAACATATGAAGAGTAGAAAAATTTTGTTTATTAACAAATACTCATATAAATATACGTCCACTTAAATTTTAAACGCGTTTTTCTCGCGAAATTTTATTGTTCAATGACTTTTTGCAATGATTTCCCCGAAACTGAGCTTCGTATCGATTTGAAATTTTTAAAGCAATAATATTTGTTCATCTGGCCTTCTCTCAGATTAACCATGGACAATTACGTCGAAATATTTCATTTCGAGATATTAATTCTTTTATTGTAAAAGGACTGAAAAATTTAAATTTTTTCCTAATAGCTGCCATTTCGTTAATTTTGTTCCATTTTTTTTTCTAGTATATATTTATACGAGTATTTGTTAATAAACAAAATTTTTCTATTCTTCACATGTTGTATAAATATGCCTAAAATTTGCATTCCTGCACATTTATTCAGTTCATCACAAAATATTATGAAAAACAAGCACGATTTTTCAGCAATCTGACCCTCCAGTCCTCTTAAGCCGAGCGTTACGATCACAAAGAGAGCGAGATCGCGCGTAATCATTAGCGCTTGACTGTACGATTTTAACGACACCTCACTCTCCGCCAGTTTCATTAGCCACCGTCGCGGCTGATGTAATTAAAAGCCTGCGTGCGTGCGTGCGTGCGTCCACCTTTCACCGCGTTTAGAGAATCGCACCGCGCGCTTCTGCGACGCCACACCGTCATCGTAATCTCGCGAGGCTCCACGCGCTTATAAATGGCGATTCTAATTGAATGCAATGCGGACACCAGCAGCAACAGTTATTTCTCCCGTCGCACTTTCATTCGCTCTTTCGCCTCTCGTCCGGATGCCGACCGCTAAAGAATCGCAGGAGCGGATCTTTTATCGCGGCGCGATCGGACGGACGTGTTTCGAAACGTCCGAAACTTCGCACGGCGACGACGGAAAAACAGCAGCAAGATCGAGGGGAAAATCGCGGGAGGAGCGCGAATCCTGAGTCTTTCCTGGAATATTGAGGCGAAAACAATGGCGATCTCTCGTCTCGCGGCGAGCTCCGTGAAACAATGACGACAGAGAGAGAGAGAGAGAGAGAGAGAGAGAGAGAGAGAGAGAGAGAGAGAGAGAGAGAGAAAGAGCGCGCGAAACCGGCTCTTGTAACAATTAAAAAAAGTATCCCATTAACGGGATAATCACGCAAACGGTGCGAGCAGTCATCCTTGCCGTCTCATCTATACGCGCGGCGACGTTCGGCGTATAGACTTTCTTCTCAGATAATTCATCTTGAGATAATTTATATGTAGCGCGAGTGAGTTACGCCGGTGTAATAAATTCACCGGCGGTTCGTTCGACAATTATTCTCGCGTAAAACTTTGAGACATCTCGCGCGCGCCACGCAAATTCCGTCAAATTCTGCCGGGCTTACACAAACCGCAGCCGGCCCTCTCTCTCTCCCTGTCTACTTCCAATTCAGAGGGTAAATAAATTTGTCAACTCACCTTGACACAGCAGTAAATTACTCTGCGATCGATGCCAGCTTTTCGTTTGTCTGAAACAGAAAACAGGGCGGAATTACAGCGGGTTTCTCGCTACACCTGATAACGCGCGCCGACCCGACCGAAAACTCGTTTTCGAAGAAGAGACTCGCGGAAGGATTTCGTTAGCGAAAATTGCGCACCCTACACACCGGCGAGGCCGCTTTTGCTCGCACACGTCACAGTCGCTTCACTCGGACGCGTTGTCCGTGCGAAATATTACCGACCTGAATAAGTGTCCTCGATGTAGGACACCCTAACCTGACTATCTGCGACCTTGCGTCACATTGCAAAAGGGAACACGCACGATCCGACTAGGTGAGACCTAGTCGACGAGTCTCGAGGACGAAAATCTGCGCACGACAGAGAGGATTTTTCCGAAGGCCTAGAAGGTGCGAATCGCGAAAACGACTGCTTCGAAGGATAATCCACCGTTGAATTTCGGATTAATTCGTCGCGTAACTACGAAACACGCAAGAACTTATAGAGTCCCTCCCTGATGTGTCGCGGGCGAGTCTTTTTTCTTTTTCCCCGAGACGCGGGCGCGGGCGAAGTCGCTCGGCGCCGAAACAACGGCTCTCGTCTATACAGATGAGAGGTAGCTTACACAATGGTGTACGATAATGAAATAACTTAATTTCGCCCCGGGGCAAACACATAGATCAAGTGAGAGAGGGGAGGGGGGGGGGTGCCGGCGACAGTGGTGACTGCCGTTGGAATTGGTGTAGGTGTTGGTGGCGATGGTGGGTGGTGATAGTCGAAAGCGAGCGAGTCCGATGCAAAATACGCGCCCAACCGACGAAAAGCGCGAATTAAAGCTCCGAGTACACAGTAATCCACTTTGTTAGCCCGCGATCTCTTACGAGGTGCGCGCGCGAACGCGCGCCGCTGCAGGGAACGGTATCCTTCTCAACTGGGTCGCGAATACGCCAAGCCGATTGGCTCGGGCTCGCCCGAATATCAAATAAATCTCGACGATCAAAATTCGGAGGGAGGGAGAGGGAGAGGGAGAGGGAGAGAGAGAGAGAGAGAGAGAGAGGGAGGGAGAGCCCGCACCGCGTTGCATTGCGAACAAGCAAATTAACGTCTTCCGGAAAATATCCTCGGCCCGGTTTCGGTTCGAACGAAGTCAGGAGGATATCGATCTTTGTAAATGAGATTCGATGGAAACAACGAACGAGGTCTCTAGCGTCGAGCAAATCAATAGCGAAGGTTGATGAGGAAGCGAGGAAAAAAATAATTAGATCGATGAAATGATATGTAAGAAGCCGACGCCGCGGCTGCGTTATGCAACGCGAGAAGAGGTCGATCGGGCTTTCGTCGAGCGTGCTCTTGTGCTTTGTTCTAGAAACGCGCTAGAAAGCGACTTTCGGGATTTCGGAGCGAAACAAGGATAACTTTTCGAGGCCGATTCCTCTTTGCGCTCTTTGCACTCAAAATATACGTGAGACGGAAAGTACGAGGGAAGATTTGTCGAAGGGAGATGATCGGAGGGAAATCTACCGGTTCGATTCGTTCGTTCGAAAGTCCGATCGAAGGTGACACGGTTCACCAAGTGGGTGTCTTAGGCAAAGCGAAACATCTAAAGTGCATATAGTTCACAGTGCGGTGTGCAGAGTCGCCGTGTCAGAGATCGGGCGACCCTAAAGCTGATGTTGTAAAAGGATCTTACAAGGACGAGCGACTCGGTGGCGATAATCGAGGGATAGACACAAAATCCGAATCTATATCCCGTGAGTCGCGTTACACGAAGAAGTCGAGCGAGGTGGCCGATGAGTGCGACTGCGGCGATGACGGCGGCGGCGGCGGCGGCGGCGACGACGACGACAACGACGACAAAGTCGACGAGGATGAAGACGAAGACGAAGAACGGGCACTTGGCACCGCAGCGGCAGGCCGATGTTCTCCACTTGATGTGCCCACGTCCATTTGTGGGTCCCGATGGCCTCGAACTGGTCTCTTATCCCCGGTATCGCCCAATCAAAAAACCGACAGCGTACCGTCAGCCGATTGGTCGAGTATGGCCACCGTGAAGACTGCAATTGGTCAACCGGCCCGAGTCACCCATGGTTACCGTTTGCATCAACAACATCTACGGTCGATATCCCCGGCTTTACTACCTGGTCCCGCGTACGTACGTACGTACTCTAGGCTCAGTGTCTCGCACACACGTCGCGATTAACACCTACATAACCCCCCAGGGTAGAATTCTCGAAGGTGAGGGCAACCGCTTTTCTTCCTCCGACGCCACCACCACCGCCGCCGCCGTCGCTCTATGGCGGTACCTACTACACACCTCTCCTCGTTGTCGCCAGCCGCCCGAAGGGCTTTGGGGAAAGTCGAAGGCGAACCACCGGCAGCTAAGGGTCGCGAAAAGCTGGTACCCCTGCGTCCAGTAGCTGGCACGGATCCAACGCAGCCCTCAACAATGATTCCCCCAAGCCGGTCCTTGCGATCTCTCCTTATCGCGAGGGATGCTCGTCTCGAGCAGTCGCGACGCGAGACTACGCGCGATAGGGGGTGTATTTGCACAGGGATAATCTTGGCAATTAAGTCGGAGCGACAAGCTAAGACCCTACAGGCGGAGGAGCCTAAATCCGGAAACGCTGAATCCTGTTTTCATAAAGGCCACTTTGCGCTCCGCGAGAAATTCGAGCGTGCGTCTCTCTCTCTCTCTCTCTCTCTCTCTCTTATTCTCTCGCTCAGCGCAGGCTCGCACTTGTCTCTTGTCACATCGACATAAGAGACACTTGGATCGGGCACGAATTGAACTTGGACGATGACAAATAATAAAGGGCAGGCAGGACAATACCTCCACGAGGACGCAGAATATGTTTTCGTCGTCGCGAACGAACGGTCCCGCGCGATTTTGCGCATACATGTCGAATCTCAGTTCCAAAGTGTCGCATAAACGACTTCGTCTTCGAAGTCTAATTGCCACTTTAGCGATTGTTGGGTTAATGGTATTAGCTTCGGCTCTGGCTACTTCCCAGAATTCATTGTCAGCGCTTCGAGAGAGAGAGAGAGAGAGAGAGAGAGAGAGAGAGAGGAGGGAGGGAGAGCGCATCGTTCTGTCTTATTTGGAATTAAGCCGCGTGACGGAGACGAAACGATGCTGTTAGCGCTAATTGCTAATTTCGCTACGTACGCCGCAAACGTGCCGTATAAATACTCAATTGCATTTTCTCATAACCAGCGAAATGCAATTCGGTGGATGCGTGCGTGCGCGCCAGCATTTCCATCCCATATTGAACAGATCTGGCAGAGAACGACGGTTGCGCGATGCAACTGTGCCGCTTCCATCGCGAGTAATGTCATTTTTGTCACCGCGTTAGCGGTAACGCTTGTTAATTGTACGTGGTATATACTCCCCGAGAATACGAGAGAGAGAGAGAGAGAGAGAGAGAGAGAGAGAGAGTGAGAGAGAGAGCAGCTGCCGCGACGACGAGAGGGAGAGAGAGAGAGAGAGAGAGAGGAGAGTCCAGTGTTTTGCGGGTGAATCAAGCGCGACCTGCTCGGGCGACCGTGAATCGACGCGCTAATGGCTCGTAATGTTCGTTTAAACGGGAACGCAAAATGACGCGCGACGTGCGAGAAAAAGATCTTATTGCCGGGTTACGAGTTGAATATGGAAGCGAACAGACGCTACTCGCCGACTTCACACCGCGCCGCTCGCAGATAGGTGAGAACATTTGTCACTCCGAGTGTCGGCGAGCCCGTCCGCTCCGCGCCATCGGAATCCACTTCGAAGATGCGGAAGAAGCGGTTATCGAGCACGACCTGCGATATTATTCGCGACTTTGGAGAGGAACCAGAACGCTCGAGGAGCGAGACCGGAACCCGGCGGTTATGTCCCCATTCAACGTTCGATTATCCGCGTTATCGACCGCGTTGCTCTCTCTCTCTCTCTCTCTCTCTCTCTCTCTCTCTCTCTCTCTCTCTCTCTCTCTCTCTCTTTTGTACATTCGGCAACGTACGTGCCAATTACGGAATAAGCAGCGCCGATGTTTCGCTCGTCCAACAGCTGCGATTCGGCATATAGCATGATGCTTTTATCAAAAGAACAAAGGAACAAGTATAAAAGTTTGCAGGACGCGTGTTTGTTCTCCAGGAGAACGTACTACCGATATATATTGTCTTCACCCGCGTTTCTCATGATTTTATATCGATCTGACACAAACTTGCTATTCAATTTGACTCGATTGCAGTTTGTGAGAACGTAACCCGTAAAACTTGGTCTTTTTCATTCGACTTTTGCTCAAATAAAAATCCAACTTTTCCAGGCGAAGAAAAGATCGTTTTAAAATTCCAAGAGCTTCCATTTTATTTCGGGTAATAAACATCTTATCTGATAGAAACCCGAGGTCGTCTATAATCATATCACACGCTTAACTTCCTCGAGAAAAATTTTATCAAAAGATTAATTTGTCGCGATAACCGATCGCAAAAACAAATCGAATTTTCGAAATCAAATTTTTGGGATATCTCGTCGAAGTCAACGTCTATCCCTCCCCGGTAAACCGAGTAGACGTCGGTCATTGGTCGACGCGAAAAGTGACCAAGAGACGGACCTACCACGAGAGAGATAATTAGACATTCGTACGCAAGCGATCGCGCCGGAAAATCGATACCGAAATACGAAAGCGGCGCGCGATCATCGCGAAAGAAGGACGACGTGTAATAAATATTTCAGAAATTAGATAATATCGTGCCGTTGGCCGTTCCGCGGAAACAGGTTCGATTGGTTCGCCTTGTTTTTAAGAGGAAACCGTATTACCCGACACGCCAACCCTGTTGTCCTGCTGCACAATGCGAGCTCGCTCGCTCGCTCGCTCGCCAATACCGCTTGTCAATTAAGCCCACACGATCGCGTATCCGATCGACCTAATAAAACATGACGAATGCCTGCCAATCCGAAAGCAAGGATGTCTGGAGGAATGCCTGCCTTAGTGCATCCTAAAATGGTGCCAATTCCCAGACGTCCCATTTTTGCATCGATTCGAGAAGCTATCGA